GGTTTGGAACTAGATGGTCTTTAAGATCCCTTCCAACCCAAACCGTTCTAGAATTCTGCTGGTATTGTGACTTCTGAGAGCAACGCTTGACACATCCATATCAAAGGAGGTTATACGTTTATGGCGTAATAAACACTTGAAGAAAAGTACAAAGATCAGTGTTTACAGAGCCATAGTGCTGTCTACTCTCTTATACAGATCCGAATCATGAGTCACTTACTGCCACCACCTGCATCTCCTAGAACGCTTCCATCAACGCTACCTCCGTACAATCCTAAACGTCCACTGGTCAGATTATGTGACCAATACATCTCTTCTAGAACAAGCAGCAGTCACAAGTATTGAGACCATGTTGCTGAGAACATGCTGCACTGGGCAGGGCATGTCTCAAGGATGGAAGATCACCGCCTCCCTAAGATCTTGCTTTATGGTGAACTTACCACCAGCTGCTGCAAGAGAGGAACCCCGAAGAAAAGATACAAGGACTCCCTGAAACAACTTCTCAGCCTTGGCCATATTGATCATCACAGCTGATCTACTCTGACCTCCAATCGGGAGACCTGGAGACACGCCATCTATAATGCTGCTGATGCTTTTGAGAAAGCACGCAGGATCACTGTCACGGAGAAAAGACAACACAGAAAGAATCGTGTCTTGCAGAATATACCACCTAAGGAGTCTTTTTGCTATGTCTTTTGCCATCAGACATGTCTATCTCGTATTGGTCTCATAACCCACCAGCGTGCTTGTAACAAACGTTGATAGAGCCTTCCTAAATCTTCGTTCACAAAGCCTAGCCATGAAGTTCAAGCATGGCAATGAGAATAAATGCATGTGGCAATCTTCTTGAGGTGCTGCAGAACGCTTCAGACTATTACAACATTGTCAGTTGTAGGATATATTTTAAGAACTGGTTAATGCATACATTTTGTTCACAGCACAGGTTATAATTAATCTCTAGCATTTCATAAAAACCATATTTAGACTGGGAGACAGACTGCCTGTGGTCCAACTTGACAACACCTGGTTAGTTTTAGGGATTCTTTTCTCAGTGTCTTAGCCCAGAACAAGTGAGGTCTGTTGATGTGCAGTGTGTTTTATTGCAAGGGGGTTTAATGATGAACAAATCTGTGATTATATGTGTATTCATGCATGGAGCACAACCCTGAGCTTTTGACTAACATAGGCAGATTTTTATTCTAAGAAATTTCGTATAATTAATTCTTAAGACTTCTCCATGTTCTGTATACTTTTTGGGTATCTAAATCCTTGGTTTTAAGTATTCATCCCTAGCATATACAGTTGAACAGAATGTCTCACAGTGTCAGTAAGTTTCCTTTCTGTGTAATCACAAAACTATCCAGACAGATGGCAACAGCACAGTTAGAGGAAAGGGAGGAATTTCTGTGTTTCCACATGTGCAGTATAACTTCTGGCTATTTCCATATGAATATTTAAAAAAAAAAGTTTTAGGAACAAAACTTTGATGAAAACTGAGAAGCTGAAGTGTTGGCTTTGGGCACCTTTACAGTCTGATTGCTTGTAAGGAGTGAAGTGGGAAAGTAATCAGGATGGAGATAAATCTAGTGAAACTGTATGTATTGGTTGGGGAAGGGAAGATGTTGGGGAGACTTGACTGTAGTTACTGGAAAGATCTATTGAGCTACATTGTCTGTCAGGTTTTATTTTGCACAGGAAAAGGTTTATTGCACAGTTATTGATACATGGAGCATCATATGCATTTGATTATAAGTGAAACATCTCCTGCTTTCTTCTGATCATTTTCTTCTGAGACATGCATCATCTCTCCTAGACAAATTATAGAAAAATCTAAGAAAATAATGTACAAAATCTTTTTCATAAACCAGGAAGGATTTCTGCAAGAAGACAGAAACCCTAGCTCATGTTCATAAACAAGATTGAAAAGTTAAGTCTCCTGTAAAAACATCTAATATCACAACAGTAACCGTATTTTTCAAGTGGAAGTCAGTTTGCTCCCCAGCAATGAAAACTTTCTGTTAATACTCTGTCTGCTATATATCAGCATTTCTCATCTATCCTCTCCTAATATGACCAGATATTATCCCAGAGACTTAGAGCTACTATTATTTGGAGAAAATTTGTACACATGGCAGAATTGGATTGGAACTGAGATTGCATTCTAAGATCTGCAGTTACAGCTGCTGTACCAGGAGTGTGTTTGTGGGCAAGGCTCATCATTAAATGCAGTCAAACTACCTGAGTTTCCATGTTTTCCTTCACTGTCTCTATACTACCGAGATTGTGTGTGCATGTGTGTGGCTGTAACTGGAGCCTAAGACTTCCAATTGGTTCTACTCAGGTCCTTGTCCAGCATATCTTAATAAAAAAAAGGAATGAAGTTGTGTTTCAAATTTCTTACAGTTTGTTCTGTTCACTAAAACTTTCTATTTCTTATGGGCTGGTTTTACCTATACGTGAATATAAAGGATATAATTTTTCACAAGTTATTAAGTCAAATTTACTCTATCAGTAGTTTCAGAGTTTGGGGAGTTTTGTGATTATAGATGGTACTGAGGATAGCCAGTGGTCCCAAACTGACGCTGGTAATACCAGGCACAACAGTAGAACGGCTGCTATGGTACCCTGGCTTTTCTTCAACTTTAGACAAAACCAAACTAAGAGCAATTCAGTTTTTCAGTTGTAAATAACTGCTTGCTTCCTGATAAGTGTTTTGTAGATAGTAGATGAAATGTGAGTGCCTGTCTGCTGTATAATCAATAGAATTAAAATCCCCAGCCTCTTATTTCCTGTGAAGTGATTAAAATCCACTTAGTACATAACATAGTTTGTGCTGGCCATACCACTCCTTTGCAGCAATATGTCAAAGTAATGATTAGGCAGTTTATGAAGTACTTAAATATAAATGGTCAACATAAATCTTCATAGAGTGTATTTTAATAGTTTTATTCCATTCAGGGAACAAACGTAGTCGAGCTTTGGTTGGCCTCCTCATAATTTCCTCCAAACTTACATACTGTTATAGCTCTTTCAGCTTTCAACGGGCAGCTTTTCTTAATACTAAGAGACATTAAAGCGATACAGTAGGACATGGTTCTTGCCTGGTTGGTGAAGTATAAGTGGCACAAAAGATTTGGTGTTGTAAGTAGTGGCATCCCCCATTTCTGCGTATAAGGGAGTCCCTATAGAGGAACAAAAGCTTTGCTCTTTGCTCAGCTATCTCTGAAAAACCTCCGTGTGCATGGGATATGTAATTTTTGAAATCTTACTTCTATCAATAGTTTAAGTCTACAATCTAGTATTAAAGTCAAAATTCAGTCCTTGACATTTCTTTCTCAGTCTTTGTTTTATTTTCATACAAAATTTAATAATCAATTTGAAACCAACAACTTCTTCTAAGCCAAGTTTTCCCTGGCAGAAGCATAACTACTATTGTTTGAAGACATAGGATTGTTGATACCTTGATAGTGACATCATCTCTAAATGCTACCCCATTTTGAAGAGTTGATAACTTTTATTAAGTCAACAGGTAGAGTTGGAAAAAAGTACAAGCTTGAAAAATCTGGTTTTGGAGTTTCAAAGCTTGCTGGATTTTCGTGCACTTACTACTTCCCCCATAGACACGTTATCTTGCAGAAATAGTTATTTTGGTTTAGGTGGCAGTAGATTTCACCTTATGTATTTATTTTTTCTGTGATTACATATGATTTTATTAGATAGTTTAACCAATATTTGAAGGAAGTGGTTTGTAATTAAGACACTGGACTGAAAGCCAGTTTGGGGTTTGGGGTATCTGTTGTGATTGAGAGCTGGGGTGTTACTAACATAGCTGATGCATTTTGTGTTGTTACATTCTTCTGGCTAAAGTGGAAACAAGAATATTTCCCCATTTTTTCCATTTTTAAAACAGAAGGTAATGCAAAACAAGATATAACATCTTTTTAGACATTTGTGAGTATTTTGGTCAGCAGCATATTCCTCATTTGTATTTCTTATTGTCATGTTCTTTGTCTCTGAAAAAAACTCAAGGAAGTCCTGATACAATTACACTCCTTCTTCCTGGCTAGGCTTATTTTTTGGTGAAAGTTGTAAGATCAGAATACTACCTCTTCAGATTTGAACATAATTTAGAAATATCTTAAACAAGTGCTGACGATTCCCAGTCAACTTCAGAAGGCAACATACCATAGAATTTTTAAAAGATGTTGGAAATAATAAAAAATAATAAATTGAAGAGACTGTTAATTACAGAATAAACAAATTACTGAATAAACTCACCCCTTTTTGATAGTTTGTGTTGACATAACATTAACACCTCATTTATTTTTTGTTCTGTCCTCTGATTTTCATGTAGACATGTCTTCATACAGAAAAAACAGTGTTTTATGTGTCACATCAAGTCTGCAGTGCTTAAGAATATTAGCAGCGTGGCAGGCAAAGCCCAATGTTCTACAAAATCCTCTCAGAAAATGCCTATGAATATCTACCGTGATCTGTTGATTGTGATTTGTTCTGGTACTGGCAAAACAGATATTTGAACTTATGCACAAAACCATGCTTATTTTAAACTCAATGTGCAAAGCATCAATTCCTAAAAATGCACATAAAGCTCTAAGTTTTCAGAATGTATTACTTGCCAATAAAGCTGGCTGACTTGGGAAAAAACTTAAGCATTCACTGAATTTCACTGGGACCATCTCATGAGTAAATTTCTTATTTAGCAGTTGCTAAACCTAAGCAGCCACTGACCTGTTAGTCCTAGAGAGAAGCCTCCTGGGGTTCAAATAAACCATGAATACTTTTACTGTTTTTCACACTAGATAAGAGGATACCTTGGTTCTCCAGTCTTGTATCCCATGAATTAGGCTCAGAGCTAAGTAGAAGTATTTATTTTAAAGGAAAGTAAAATTTTCTTTTTTAATCCATTTGTTTATAAAGATTTATTAACTTTTTGGAAAATTACCTGTTGGTCTAAAAGAGTTGTCTTATTTGCTTTGTAGTTCAATTTTGTTGGGAAATTGCTTGGACCAAGAGGAAACTCTTTAAAGAGGTTACAAGAAGAAACAGGTGCAAAAATGTCCATCCTGGGAAAAGGATCCATGAGGGATAAAGCTAAGGTACTGTGTCTGGATTTCTGGTTGCAATTAGTGTTGAAACATATGTTGCTTTAGGTTTTATACTTAGATTGCCTGTCTACTTAGTAATGACTCAATTAAAAGGCCTATAATAGACTCCGACTCCATGGCTAGGTTGTTTTTTACCAAGTTACATCAATTGCTTAAATATAATTTTTCTCTTACTATGCCAACCTTGCTTAGATGTCCACAGTTGCTATATTACCATTGTTATTTAAATAATTCACCTAAAAGAGAAACCAGCTTAAAGTTCACTTCTCTCAGAGAAGTCTGTTTTTCCTGAGAAAGTACAGCTTGTATACATTACTGCTGTAATATTGGTATACATAAATAGGTTTTCTCTTTTTTCCTGTTTCTTTAGAGATTGGATTTTTAAAAAATATTGGCTATTTATCCAGGGCATAGTTCTAAAATAAGATTAAAAAGTGAATGTTTTGCATAAATGTGTATAAAAATACACTATAGATAAAAGGAAGAAAACAGTTTTGGAATCACAGCCCAGTTAATACACCTGAGTAATAATTTGCAGGTAAGTGTTGTTGCCCTTCAGCCACCTCCTCCCACTTTATATACTGAGCATGATATTCTGTGGTATGGAATACCCCTTTGGCCAGTTTGGGTCCTGGCTGTGCTCCCTCCTGGCTCCTTGTGCAGCTCCTCGCTGGCAGAGCACGGGAAACTGAAAAGTCCTTGACTAAGCACTATTTAGCAACAACCAAAACATTAGTTTGTTATCAATATTACTCTCATACTAAATCCCAAACACAACAAGGTACCAGCCTCTAGGAAAAAAATTAACTATCCTAGCCCAAACCAGGACATTAGGGGAACTTCATATATATATGATCCAAAGAACAAGTACTATTTGTATTGTGATGTCTTCCTTTGCTTTCTGTAGAAGAGCAGTCAACACAGAAATAACGACTGCTAATTTCACTATATTTTAACTGTATATGGCGTTCAGTAATTTTGAGCAGAATTTTGCTTTCCTATCTGTTACCTCTGTCATTCATCTCTCTAGCTAAAATAATGAAAGCAATAACATGCCAGAATAAAGAAAAAACTAATCAGGATTTTATGGTTGGCATTATTTGGTCTTGGTAATGTGTATCAGCAGTCACATAGGCATTATGAGGTCTCTAATTGCAATATTGGAAAAAATCCACAAAACAGACAAATTAGGCACATGGAACGTATTTCACTTTTTCAGAGTTTTCTTTGTGACATTGACCACAGTGACAATTCAGTTACAATTATAAGATAGTAAATCTTGAATATGCTACCGATTTTTTTCCAGGTATTGACAGGTAAAATATTTTAATTACTTCTGGCTAACTTGTGGAATCATAAAAAATTTTTCCCTGGATAAGTGAATGCATGTGCTGCTAAGTAGCAATAATTTGCACCAGTACTGCATCTGTCAGCTCTATTCTCAGCCACTCACTCAGATTATTATTGCCAAGAGCAGCAATTGTTCAAACAGAGGAGTGTAAAGATGTTTAAACACACATTATTAGATAGACTAAGTCTTCTGATTTTGAGATTGGTCACTCTTCTGATCATATGATTTGAATTTCATCTCATGATAATGCAGAGTTCCAGTGTGACTGTCGTTACATTCACTCATGAGTATGTCATCAAAAACAAAATTTAGGGTATATTTTTTTCCTCTTCGTAGAGTATTTATTCCTTAAGAAGAGTCTGAAGTTGAGTATGAGCTTCATGGAAACTCATTCATATGAGAGTGGTGTAAAAAATGAGGTTCTAGAGTAAAATGGCATTAAATATAGCAGTCACGAAAGCAACTTCTGTAGAGAAGGGCTTATAAGTGACTTATCTTAATCCAATTTAGACATTACTGACTCAAAAGAAAACAAAATTCCCATGCAATAACAATGAGAGATAGGGATTATCTCATCAATGTACATCATTGTTACCAGTTCTAAGAAAAAAAGTGTGAGAATGATCTTGGGATGGGTAATAATTACAATTAGCATTTCAGAGAGGCTGTTCTAATTTGAAATACTGGTAGAATGTAGAGAAAATAAGTTTGACTGTGAGCATAAATAATGGTGTGAATTGCAAGATTACTAAGCAAAATACAACTTACTCTGGTTAAAATGGTTTTCTTGTCATAAAACAAGCCAGCTAGTCTCATTTGTGCAGTACTTTTTTCCTGATTTAAATACGAATTACCAAAGTCTGGAGGCTTTTTGCAGTTGTTTTGTACCATATGAGAAATCAGATTATGTATATTGGCTGATGAATCTTTGTTTTGGAGGAATATTCAAGAAAAATCTCTGTCATTTCTCTCTGTAAACTAGAATTTCCTTAAGGCTGAACCGTAATAGTCCCCTTCAGTCCAGTGCAACTGCATACTGAGCTGCATCAGAGCAGCAGAAACAGAATTTCTACTGGAAAGTATTAAATACATTTATACCCTCAAGCTCTAGAAGCTGAAGTGTTCAAAAAGAACAGATCCACTGATACGAGCTTTTTCAGTGCCAAATTAACAATAGGGAAGTGCTTGGCTCAACAGTGAACCACTCTGGCCATAATCAGTAATTTTTGTCATATGAAAGGGCAGTTTCCATGTCTGGGAAGCTACCTCTGTCAAGGGAGATATATCTGCTTTTCAGAATTTCCTTATCTTTTTTTAAAGAAATCTGTGGGTAAATTTTCGAGACTAAATTATTTAGGCTGTTCCTTCCAGAGCCACAGGGAACGCTTATTGAATGACTTGAGATTTCTGAGTATCTGCTGTGCTTATGGTGTGGGAACAGGACAGATTAATTTGAAAAGGCAATGCAACTTACTTAAAATGTATATTATGAACAGCTCCAATTATGCAAAAAATACCACAGAGCTAATGTATATGTCACAGAAAGTTGTGTTAGAAATTATTGAAGAGATGCTGAAGTATAACTGCATCAGTTTTGTACAATGTTATCTGGGGTATAAGGAAAACTTATGATTCTTCCAGAGTGGCTAATGTGAGTACTTAAATCTCTGTGCTGAAGTTAATGCCACTTGCTCAACAGAAATTTAGTGTTCCATAACAGGAGAAAGATCCTATGGTATTCTGACAGGAAAGACAAGCACTGTCATGAAATGTGAAAGTCCATCCGCTAGGCATAGCGGATGCTGCTGCTGCCTTTTAAATACTTCTTACCCTTGATTTGGCATGCAAAAACAAAGCTAAAATTTGAAGTTTTTATTAGCTGAAGAACTACCCTGTAATTTTAAATCATATAGAAGGTATTGTTCAACATAATGAGCATAGCCATGACCACTGAGAACTGTGCCCAGTGTGAGGGCACAGCCATTTTCTAGTGTGTTTTTGGAACAGGTTGAGCTCTCACTGTCTTGCTGGTGTATATGCTGCCACTAAAGGTTGTCTTCCCTGTATTATAAATATGCAAATACATTTTTCAGAACAGGTAGTGATGAGATTAAACATAGTCATGTTGATTTGCTTAGCTCTTGGTTCTTTTCCATTTCTTTTTCTTCTTTTTGCAAACAGCATGGGAGGTGATTGTAAAGTTAAACAATCAAACTGAAGTGACAGGAGAAATCTCATTACAAGTGGAATGAATTGATTGCTTTCATACACAGATGCAGATTTTCTCCTTTTCAACCATGCAATGAATGGTTTTCACTGTGCCATTAAAAAAAATAAGATGCATGCGGTGTCTGGAATAGCTTTTTGTTACATGAATTATAGCAGCAAGAGCATGGATTCTCTTTTAAAGAATCAGAAAAATATGTAGCAAATGTTTCTTAAACACTTACACTTCTTTAGCTAGTTACCTGCCAGTTTCATAGAATAGAACAATCTTGGGGCTTGCACCATTTCTCTATATTCCCTAGTTTTAGATTATTTATCTGAGTGATATTTTTTTACATAATATGCATAATCTGATGTTTGTGTTTTTTGAACTTCAGAACATCATATCTGAGAAAGCAAAATGGCAATGATTTCATGGAGATGAGAGTGAAATGAAAATTTTTGTGGGAAAACCAAGAACATTTAGGGCCAGAGATAAAATATCACACTGGTGTCATTAGAACTGCTTTTAAGAGCTGCGTGACTGAAGATTGCTGGAGCTTGGGGAGAGTATGTGGGAAAAGTCAAAAGCATACTCCTCCCCTTCCATGTTTCCCTAAGAACCCTCTAGTGACTGGACAGAAAATACTGCTCTAAGGGGCACTGGGACCTCACCCTTAATAACGTGTGAGAACAGATCAACAGCATTAACCATAGTCCAGCTGTGGTATTTGCCTGCAACATGACATCCTCACTTTTTGTTACAGTTTTTTCCAGAGGTGACCTATCCAGAGTAGATGAGGTAGTATATGGTGAGGCTTGCCTAGAATGCCTCTATGTAGCATTATACCACTAATTAATTGGTATGAATAATGCTAGTAAAAGAGAACAAATGAAGGCCAGAATAATAACTGAAATGGTGAATGAGGCATAGAATAAGCAAAAATGTGTTGAAAAAGGGAAGAGGACTGGCTTGAAAGAAAACCAAATGGTAGGAATAAATCCTTCACAGAAGAAAAACTCTTCCTTTTACAGAATTTTATCTTTTGTCTTTCCTATTGCATATGTAACTTTATGGTGAGAACGTTCAAAGTAAAAGATGATAGAAATTTTCCAGTGAACACAAAATTATATAGAAAAGAGGTATTTGGAGGCTTCAAAATTCTTGAACAAAGAAAGGTTGTGAGAGAAATGTTAAATGTGTGCAAGTGTTGTAGCTGAAAATTTTTAGGGTAAAATGTTTGTCCTTTCTTTTTTTATTTGAACGAACAATTTTATTGAAAAATTAACCTAGGTGATTATGTTTGAGAGAGCAGAATAATGTAAGAGCAATAGAATGTTTTGATTTTGATTTGAGAACATTGTGTTACCCAGAGAAAGATTTTTGGTTGCTTTCATTTTGTTAAAAAACATGAAAAATGGATTTTTAACCTGC